TATATATTTTCGAACTATCTACTTTTGATTACTGCTACTGAAGAAGTGTTCCTTTGTTTTCTTATTTATATGAATCCATTGGCAGATAGTGAAAGCGAAGATGGATTCAAAGATACTTTCCAGATGGTGGAGAAAGATGATTACCTCTGTAGCAGTAGTGGTCCTCCTTCTGTAGAAGGGACACATCTTGGGATAAATGCACGCAAGACTCAGAAGATGGGAGTAGAGACGATAAGAAAATATATTTGTGAGACAGAAGGTGATAACGATGATTTCACAAGAATGGAATGCATAACGCCATTGATGCACTACAAGCTTTACCTAGAGATGGATGACGAGCTTCTACTTGATCCTTGTGATCTTTTAGAAGGTGAGAAGAAATCAAAGACTTTTCTAGGTTTTTTTTTTGAAAGAATGTTAAATTTATTCAAATTAAAAAAAACTTTATGCTTATATGTGTAATTAATTTGTTGTACTTTTATTATTGAAGAATGTATAACATGATGATTAATAAACTGAATAAAAATAAATAAATCTTAGTTATCATCCAAATATATATGGTATCTTGCTTTATGTAAAACATATGTTAAATTTAGTACTAGACATCGTCTTAGTTTAAAAATCGTTAAGTTCTCTTTTTATTGTTTTCCGTCTTCAAAACCAAATACAAAGAAACGTATAAACACATTTTTATTTGGTTTATTCAACCGATTGTAGGTTCACGTCTCTCAAAATGTATGGTTATGTAGTATTGGTTTGACATACCCACTCAAAATCATATTATTAATTTCAGAAAAAAAAATTATTCTACAAATATTCAGTTAAAACTGGTAAAAATACAATTACTAAATAGTTTTGAAAAAATAAATACAAATAAAAAATGCCACCTGTTAAAGCAGTCATGTCTCTAGGTTTATTATAATGTGATAAAGAAGGCATTTATTCATAAAATATTAAATAAATCCCTAGAGAAGATAATAAAATTAATAATCATTGGTAACCAAAATAAATTATAGAAATTTATCTTTTCATAAAATTTATTAGTAATAGTTTAAAAACTTATAAACACTTCAAATTTAGAATTAAACAAAATTTTAATGTAAACTTTCGAGGATTTTTGACGGTTTTTGGAGGATTATTCTACAAAGGATAATAGTCATCAATAAACTATTGCAAGTGGCATCAACTCATACAGAATCAAAATACCATACACAATTTCTAATACCGTAATTTAGAACTTTATTGTTAATAAATAGTGCAAGCTGGCGAATTTCAAATAAAAATATAAATCTTTGAATATCTATTATGTTAGAATAGTGATGTAGTATGTTCTCAGAGTTTACACGTAATACATAGTTCATTTCTATCACAATCAGATAGATTTTATCTATGATTAATAATTTATTTTCATGATAATTCAATATATAAATAAAACATTTTGAATCATAATCTTAATGTAACTATTCCTTATTCTTTTCACATTTTCTGATCATATATAGTAAAAATGATAATTTCTCAGTTTTATTCATTTTTATTCTATGATTTATATATTTTATAATAAGGGATGCAATATATGTACATTATTATGCAAAATATATTTATATTTGTCTAATCCCGGGCGTAGCCCGGGCAAAATCTCTAGTTATTAGAGTTAGTTAATATGTTTTGTTTTAAACCAATTTAAACTTCTATTAAGCATGAAATTATTTTTAGCTGGCAGAGTTTTATTTAATAAATGTTATATATTTTGTACATAATTTATGCATGTTTTAAATTATACTTATTTTAGTTAAGATTGTTTGTTTATTTTAAATATTTTTTTAGAGATGATTTTTTAAATATTGAAAATGATTAAAACACAGTTCTACATTTCTTTAAAGTAAAATATTCAAAAATTATAGTGAACTACTAAAATGTAATTTTGATCTTGAATTTATGAAGTGAAGTGAAGTGAAAGGGAGGGAGCGATAGATTTCCGTTAGCTCATGAGGCTTATATATTAAACCACGCACTTGCGCAGAGTATAGGTCATTGATCGAACAATATATACTAAGGTAACAATCTAGTTTTGTTAGTTGTTTGTTTGAGACTGAAAACAAACAAAGTGCAAACATGATCTGTAAGCGTTCAGGAAATATGATGATAAAGACCTGTCTAGGTACTCACCAGTCACCAAGAGTACTAAGAAGATAACAACATTGGTAGACAGAGATGAGAGAGAGAAGATAAAGTTCAATGTTTTCTGGTTACATTTCCCAAAAGGAAATCACACGATACTTATAACATAGCTCCAAACAGCATAATTGTTTTTTTTTCAGTAGACATCATATATGAAAGATAGTCTGGAAAACAAGTATTTAGAGTTGAAGACTTAACCATACGAGAGAGTGTACAAAGCAAATACAAGAAAAGAAGAACAAGACCACATTTTAATCTTCAGATGCTCATTCCAAGATGAGTTGGCATGCTGCTGAAGCTCTAGAAGAAAGTGCCAACTCCTGTAACATCTCAGATCTTGGAACATCCGATGCATAGGCCTTGATGGTTGCAGTCTTTAAGTGAAGAGCATGTCTCAGAATGTAAACCACAATATCTCTCTCTTCTGGTTCTCCTGTGTACTTAACCCACCTGATACTTTGTAGGCTCGACAGCAAACATCCAGGTACAGTACTTGGTTCATTCCAGTAATCCATATCTTGAGGCTCGTGATCCTGATATCAAAACACACAAAAGTTAAGACTGATACTAAGTTATGAATCAGAACCTAAGAAAAATAGTCAACAAACAAACTTACAGCCATGTAGGAAAAGTCTAGTTCTTTTAGGTTAGGAGAAGCATTGAGCAGTCGGAAAAGTTGATCCGAGGAAAGCATTGTGCATGGACATACCTCCAGACGTTCAAGTTGATTCAAGACAGGACCTTCATCAAACATTTCCTGCTCACAGTACTAAAATTACCACACAACAAAAAGAAAACGATTATCACAAAATAAGTTGATAAAAGGAAAAGTGAATTACCTGTGAACATATAGCAAGACGCTTGACAGATGTGACTGATCTAATAACACTAGTGATATCAGGGAGTTCAACTTCTAAATCTGCCTTGATCAGGTTAGGCATCTTCTCAATCATATTGTAGTGAAGCTTATGATTATAATCACTAACCCTATGTTTGAAATACTTTAACGCAGGGGTTTTTATCACATACCCAGATATAACACTATCACAAGGTATAGAGAGTGACAACCTCTGCAAAGATGGAACAACAACCGTCAATTTTTCCATAGCTTCACCATAACCACGTAACTGCAACACTAGATATTCAAGAACTGGACAATTTGACAGAAGCCGCTGAAGAGTTTCGGCCTTCACGCATTTCACCCTTCGAAGTTTTAGAGTTTTCAGAGAAGGAAGAGAAACAATTATAGGAACATCCAAGAGGATGTCACCAACCAGTTCCAAGATCACAAGCGATTTGCAAGTATAAAGGTTACTCGGCAATATGTCTGGCTGAGCCGGATAAGACTGACAGGATATTATCTTAAGCTCACGTACGCAGAGAGAAACAGCTTTTAAAACCCACATGTTGATATTCTCCGGTTTAAAACGTGAATTGCGCAACTCAAGACGGAAGGTTTCCATAACCGGAGCTCTATGTAATGGCATGTTTCTGTCAAGAAAACACTTTAGCCTCTCCCATTCAGGCCCTGAACAATACCTATGACCATACTCAAGTTTAGGCAACCACATCCAAAGATGCTCCCACCGTTTCGACAAGATGCTAGTTGATGCTGCAACTTTTGTCGGAACCAACACTAAAATCTTAAGAAGCAACTCATCAGGTAACACACTGATACTGTCCATATCTGATAAAGAGACAAGAACACACACACACGAAAAACATCTGTTAATAAAACACTGTAGCATCTCTTTTAAAAACTAAACCCGTTGTGACTTTTGACATAATCTAGACACGAGAAAAAAGAAAAAAGAAAGAAGAAAACATTACTAACCAAACTAGTTAGTAACTAACAAAGCGAAACCAAAGAGACAAAAGAGGAATGTGACAAAACCTTAGAAAGTCCGGATAGTTAGATGATGAGTGTTCCCCGAGGAAACAGAATCAGAAGATAAACCGGAAGTTGACAAGAGGACTGCGAAAGTATTTGTTTCGGTACTGTATATATTGACGGGGTTGCCTGAGAAGGAAACGACATAAATAATTACTAGTAGTAAATCTACCAGAAAGAAGATGAAAGGATCGAATTTTCAAAAGTTATTGCTCATCTCGAATGAATACAAATCTTCGTCCACGCCACAGGCTACACCAATCAACTCATAGGTTAGTGAATCACATTAAATGATCTAAATCTTTCGTGGGCCTGATAATGGGCCGATAGGTCTGTCTCCTTTTCAGTTTTACAACATTACAAATATACAGTTTACCACCGTTTATAAATTTTAAAATATGGGGTTCCGTTTGACAATGAATTAACGAACCAATCCGCTCTCGACGATTTGAATAAGATACTATCCGGTTCCTCAACTGTGATTCTATGCCCAATTATCAATTTTGAACATCAGGCCTGATAATAATATAACATTGCTTACCAATATGAGACAAATTCTAACTAATATCTCAACGCCAAAGAACAACAGCGTCTTCATCTTTCTTCTTCAAAGCTTCTTTCCCATGTGGAACCCAAAACATTTAG